GAGTTGTATTCTTTGCTCATTTAACAGAAGTCGCTGACGAGTCCTTAATTTCTAGCCAAATACAAATACTAGGATCATCAATTTGCTTCAGAAAATAACAATATACAACGAACCAAGATCGCGATACCATGATCCCAACAAAACTGAGATAGTACATTTTCCAAAATTTTCCAGGACTTCGTATACCTGTACAGAACACGTGATGACGTCAGCAACAGTCGATGAGATATATATATATATATATATATATATATATATAGTAGTATATAGTATATGGATTAGTTGCCATTTAATGCAGTCATGCTTGATGCTCTTCGGACAAGATTCAAGTAAAATCAAGTCAAACATCCTTAATTAAGTTCGTTAATCACCAATACTCAGTAGTACAGTGTATCATTATCATTCAGCGACTGACTGGATCATTATACTATACGAACATATTTGGCCTCAACCGCGGGGGGGAATGGGAATGATTAACTCTTAACTACCCAGGAAACTGTAATAACTGCTGCTACGCGCTGGGAACCTGAGCATGATTGATTAAGTGCAGATGACAACAATTAACAATGCATATTGCATAGTAGTTTATAATGAACTGTGATGACTGATGAGATGGTTTTAGTTACAGAGATCTCGTGAAACAATGAGTTTGACCATTGATTTTCAGCGATGTGGAAACACATGAGACCACATGGAAATGGGCGTTCTGCAGCTGCATATTTGGAATACTTAATTGTGAGTCCACCATATATGCTTTGATCAAGATTATTATGCTCTTCACCAACTGCAGCACTCTTCTTGAAATACTCTGTCAAGATGCATATGACATAACGGCCGCGTTGATTCTCCTTTTTGTGGTATCAAACTGATTTGATTAATCACCTTGCAGCTAAGTTTTTGACCGAAAGATGGGAGTTTTTTTGGACCCTTGCGCTAAATCACTAATCTTAGCTGTTTATCCTTTGAAAACGAAATTTCTCGTCGTGTCTTCTGGGCTTAATTTCTAGCCGCTAGGCATGACAAATTAACAAGAGTATCATTCTTTGGACAGTTGTGCCAACTCAATGGACAGGCTTTTGATCTTGCCCTTTGTTTTTGTCTTTTTTTGGCCGTTTATTTTCCACCCTTTTTTTTTTTTTTTTTGGGTAACGGTTGACTGGTCTAAACTATGCATAGGTTCCATTCAATGATTGCAACGTGCATGCATGCAAATGTGGTACACAAAACCAATTCTAGGATTCAATGTGCGCATCTGCAAGGAGACCATTCTAGACTTAGCCGACATACATGTCATCTAGCGTTTAAAAAAAAAACACGAAATTGTCATCACGAACGTGAAATTTTGGACATGGAGAGCATTACTTAAAACCAGTCCAATTCGAACTACCATGGGCTTCTTCTAAACCTGAAGACCTAGCTGGGCCAGAGTACAGCTAAAATAAATCATTTCTTCTTCACCATACACAAGTTTTTTTTTTTTTTTTTTTGGGGGAGGGGGGGGGGTTACTTTTTTCTCCCTTAACGCGAGGGAGTTTATAAGACCCAATTCATTCCGAAATAATAGCCAAAATAATAGATGAATGCTGATTAAATTATGATAACAGCCACTGGCCATTTGGTCCAGTGGTCATCCCCTTCTTTGAGGATGCTGGAGGTCAGGGGTTCAACCCCTACCTCCCACAACTTGCCACTCTACGTGGCTAGTCTTTGCCCCTGCGGGGTAACTCGAGCGGTCCGCTCCTCCTCCTTAGGATATAGAAAAAAAAAAATTATGATAACAATTTTAAATGTTCAACCAATTAATTTGGTAATTGATAACTATACTGCCGCCAGAAATGGTCCATACCTGCGACTGGGACTGCGACTGGGAGGCTGAAAGTCAAGTCATAGATGGTCACATAATAATAATAAGACCACACGAGTGTGATTCTAAGTTTAACTACTTACTTACTGTGTAGTATTATCTCTATCATATCACCGGCTATGAATAAGTCGTTCCTGTGCCGTCAGGGATTTGATTTTTGATATCGACTTTGATCTCTCTGGAAATTTCTTCTCTCTGATTGTGATTGTAAATGTAGGGCACCAGGTCACATCTTCATTCTTCATCCCCATCCCCAACGTCCACACAAATTTGGTCCTAATACAAATACTTACAATGATGCGACACTGATTCATTGCCGTCCCGCTACCTATTCGCGATTATTCCTTTTTTTTTTTTGTTTTTTTTGGGGGGGGGGGGGGTTCGGGTTCGGGTTCGTGGGTGTGTTGGTTCTTGATTCGATTGCAATGCCAGGTTCTTGACAACTGGTTGGCCATGAACTTCCTAGCTAGCATTTCCATGAATTTTACTACTAAATTTCTTGGTTGGTGGAAATCATGGAGCCTGGAAAATAAAATTAGAGGAGGATTGCGGCTCATAAATCGTTTGAAGGCCCATAACATACATACCTCACGGCCGGACTTTTTGAGTTGTTGAATGCCAAAGTGCCAATAGGCTGGGGGACCTTAACATCTTCAACCATGGATGGACCAATTACAGGGTGTTTTAGCTGAGCTGACTCAAGTTTCAGTCAGGTGAAATTGACGGCCAAAATCCATGCTCTTGCCGTGTCGGCTTGGTTAGCAAATCAAACTCAAAATTTGAAAGCTTCTCCAAAATGCGGGTTGCCCGAGTCAGAAAAGAATACACGATTCAATCTACGTTCAAAATTGTCTCGTCCGAGTACAGTTCGAAGGCGGCGGGATACGGATGCATTTTTTTTTTGTAATCCGTTGAAAGATTTCAAAAAAATAAAAAACAAAGGTCCTATAAGGGCAACTACGGGCGTGTTTGACAAATTTTAAACAAACACCCAAAAAACTCATTTGTCAAACCATTCTAATATTCTTGTGATTTATTTTATGATTTCGTGTTGGTACAGAGTTGAATCTGCAGGGGAAAAAAATGGAAAACTTTATAATTTTTTTTTTCACCATGCATAACCAGCGGTACCTTTGATTGCATTTGTGTACTACGAGGAAATCCATCCGCTGGATCAGGATTCAGGATAGAGCCGAAACCATTAGAAGTTACTCCAACGTTTCTCCTGGATAGACCTCATTGACTAATGCCGGGTGGTCCTGTAGGGGTCCAAAATACAGGGGGGTTAGGGACTCCTTCATGGTCCCGAATCCTAATGGCAAAGGCTTTTTCGAAGGGTCAATGCGTCGGAGAGGGGATCATGTGAAGTTCTCATGGGCTGGCCCAAAATCATCCTTCGTCTTCCTCTTCTCCACTGTCGGCTTGGGGTCGTCAAAAGGATTAGCGTATCAAAACCCAATAGCTACAACGCAACTTGATCAATTTGTTACGTTACGTAGTCCAATCACAGGATGACATTTTTTCCTTTTTGAAGAAAAGATTCCGTATCTGCATTTCAATCAACTCCCACTACGAAAGGGTACCGTGTTAGAAAATCTTAAATCCTAGCAAAGGGTACCGTGTTAAAAAATCTTAAATCCTACGAAGTCTTGTCTGATTTTCCACTCTTGTCATTGGTCCAAAATTGTTTGCCAAGGTCATTAAACACGATCCCACACCCCATGGATCTTTTATTTGCTTTTCAACACTGTTGCCAGCGTTATCTTTTGAATATAACAAGTTGAGAGGAAAAGGAAACATCTTTTGAAAAAAATAATATTACCCTTTTATACGAATCTGATGGTATGTCTCTAAGAATCTCCGGAACTTTTAACTTCGTGACTATATTCCAGCATCTATTTCACATGTTAGGCGTAACCAGTGTTGTTAGACTCGAACCGGATCGAGCTCATTTTTTTTTTCGAGTTGGTTAGTATCATAAAAATGTTTTGATTAAAAAAATCAGTCAAACCAGTGACCCGACCAACTGCTTGACCCGATTTTCAAACCTTTCTTTCTTGTTTTCTCGAAACATGGTTTTGAGTTATCTAAATCGTAAAGTTTTCATTCGTTAATGAAAATAAGAAAACGCCATCCACTTAATATAAATATTAAGATCACTCGCTTTCTTAAATGAACTCTAAATCAAGAAATTTTCATTCTTATCATCTTATCAATTTATCGTAAGTGATTCCAACTTGTATTATAAAATCACAATCCCAACAAAAAGATCTCGAATTGTGTACCATTTGTTTTAATTTAGTTTTTCGAATAATTTTGAAGAATGGACATATTTTAGATATAAATTCACATTTTTATATATAATTTTCAGGCATATATTTGATTGTAAATCGAATATTTTTTTAACATTTTGTCATTTTATACGATTGGTAAATATAACCAAGAAGTTAATTTCAATATTTCTAAAATTTATAAAAAATATAAAATATTATGACATCATACTGATATCAATGAATTTTTTAGAACGATCCAATCAATTAACCCCTGATCCAATAGTTTAGCTAAGTCTCTAATTTAACAACATTGGGCATAGCTGGTGCATTCGACGACTCCCTATTCAATGCTATGCATGGTTCCTTGGTAACTTCTAGTTTGATTAGGGAAATCATAGAAAATGAATTTGTTAATGCAGGTCACAAATTTCGTCAAGAGGAAGAAACTTATAATATCGTAACTACTCATGGTTATTTTGCCCGATTGATCTTTCAATATGTTAGTTTAGTTTCAACAACTCTCATTGATTACACATCTTCCAATACGAGCTTTTGAGGGGAATCCTTTCTTTCTTTCTTTTTTTGGGGCGGGGGCTGTGGCGGTGGGGGACTAGGGTGGGGCGAAGGACAGTTTTTTTTTTCCCCTGTTTTGTTGGGCAAAATGGTAAGAGCATTTGTTAAGATCAGATAAAGAAAAGTTTGTAAAAGAACTATAACTTAATATTGATTATATCCAAAAGTTTGGTTGTTCGAAGCTTAATACTGATAACGTCCATGAACGTTGCAGGTGCGATCAAGAAGATTTATGCACTACCCAAAATAAATATTCAGGACACAACCATAGCTCATAAAAGGACGCTTCATAGAAACCAATCAAAAAATATTTTGTATATAATGTCTTTTCCAACTTTTTGTTGAATTACAAATGATATTGGAAAGTTATACTAACAAAACTTCAAACCAAGATACAAAAAATTATATGTATTTTACCCCCCTAAGTCCCTAAAATGAATGCTTTCAACTTTAGCATGAAGACCCCATACCCCAAAAAAAAATATATCCTGAATGATGCCCCTACCCTTTTTGCTATGAGACTTTTTGGACACAAAAAATAATTTTATAGCAACCTATATATTTGAAAAACTGAATGGAAAAAAAAAAAAAAGAATAGATTTACAACAGACTATACCCATCGTGCATATTAACGAGGATAGAACTGCTAGTAAAGCATGCTCAAGGTTCCTTGGCCTCACTCGTGTAAAAATTGGAAGGCTGGATTCTCGAGAAGCTCATCTGCTGGTTTGACATCTAAAAAGTCCCTGACTTGGAGTGCATTTGAAAGCTCATCGACTGAGAACGGAATGCTGCATCCAAAATGTGGTTCATATCATTAGAACTTATCTTACCCAGTAGCATTCCCAGATTGCGCTAACAAGTTGATAACAGTGATGGGCAACCAATATAGCACTCAGTCAACTAAAAGCAAAATGTACAGCCGCAGGCATTACCTCTAAATCTCAAGAGTAATCACCATTTAAATTAGACAATAAAGCTTGATTCTTAATGCTTTATTCCAATATCCATCCTAATTTCTTAGTTAAAGATTGGCCACAGAAAGCCTTTTTGCAATTCCCATTAACATTAGAGACGAGCTGAGCTTATTAATACTATGTTATCATTTAACCAAAGTAAACATTAACTGAACCATGGAAAACTTCCCACCTGGAATTGTCATCCAATAAAAAGGAGCTACTAACGGCACTATTAGAATCTTCAGTCATTAAAACCCTCATGCTGGCTATGACCTGCATAAAAATGGAAGCTGAATTTCCAATCTTCACCTTTACTAGGAACAAATATGAACTATGAAATAACTACCACTATATTCAATGGTCAATTGGACACAAAAAACTTACATCAGGGGATACACTTCGAGTATTATAGTTGTCATCCCAGTATAAAGTACAAATTCTGTACAGCTGTTGAACACTGAGAATCTGAAAAGTCGAGCATTTTACATGTAAGATAGGATAACAAACTTCTCAGCGTAAGGGAAATTAGGCTACTTCCACCCCCCCCCCCCCCCACAAAAAAAAAGCAAACACCTATAAACAAGTTCACACAGAGAGAGAGAGCAAGCTGGACTTACAGGACACAAATCATTGGTAATCTCATCATAAGATATTCTGTACTTCTGATGTATAACCTGTGCAAAAGAAAAAGTTCATATAAAAAAGGAATAGTTGATGATTGCATGTGAGTCTAAAGCCTTAGATCATATAGTTCTAGTCTAAATTCAGAGACATCTTAATACAGTTTGGGGAAAAAGTGGTTTCAATTTGGACAAAAGGATTGCCGAATTATGCAAACCGTCTCTGAAAGAAAAATCTCCTTGATTTTGAATGACCAAGTGCTTTCCCAATTTTAGGCCCTATACCAAATTTGAGCTCAGGAAGATCGATGCACTAAATTATTGATGTCAAGAGAGGGCCTCTGGCAGCCTAGTCTCCAAAATTGCATGAGAGAATGGCATACATGAAAAGAACATAACAATGTCTTTCAGTGAAAAAATCATCTAGGAGATTACCCTTAGCTGTTTGAAATAGGTCCATTTCACAATTTACCAACCTTCCAATATTGGGAGACCAGTTTTTGTTATAGTTCTTTCCCACGCTTACTTGCAAGCGTGTAACAAAGCCATGAATGATAACTAAAAATTCTCCAATTACTCGAAAGTTTTAGACAGCAGAGAAAAACAAATGCAAATAGTTAAGAACAGTTAAGTTTACATCTCATTGTTTGTTATGGAATTCATATAGTATAAAAAAGTAGCATCAGGCATGGAAGAACCAAACATGCACCAAACCTTGAATGTAAAAGTAGCATCACTTAGAAGCATATGGTACTACAACAACATAAGGATTTACTTACGTTCTTCCAAATTTTTTAAAACTTAAAAATTCAGGCTGAAATTTTTCTTGCTGTAACTAATACACTGTAATAAAAGAATAAGATCAAAGAGATGAACCAACCAGGAAACCAACAGCTTGTCTTATATGTTTGAGTTCATCCCAAGCTGAGCCTGCATACTGCAATCAAAGATAATTCTAAGTTGAAAAAGTTCCTCATGCAAGAAGAAAAGTTGGAGCTTATCCACAAAAAACCTGAATGCAGCCATTGATTTTTTTTCTTAAAATGTATGAAGCTGAAATTTGGGCATATGTTAAACATTACCTCCTCCTTTGCCTGGCAGCACCATAGCTCTAATTCTGCTAAGCCTGCTTTTACGTATTCCCCATTGCTAAATGTACAACACTCACGCCGCAGAAGAAGACTACAAAATTTCCAAGAATTAGCCCAAAAGTTTCGATAAACAATTAAAACCAAGGGCAAAACTGAAGATAAAATCCTAGTCACCTGTTAAAGAGTTGGACATTGATGTATGAGAATGTTTGAGTAAATATTTTCTGAACAAGAATTGGAGGCACCTGAAATTCCAACAATCATAAGCCCTTTCCTCAAATTTGGAAAATTAAAGCATGAATAACATGAATGAACCCTTACAAAGTTTTCTTTTAATGTACAAAGAAGAGAGTTGAGGCACTCAATTATTCCCTGCCAGTGACTTGTTTGAGAATCTTTACCAAAGGACCTTCCTGATCTTAGCACGCTTCCCTTGGAGGCCCTTGGTGCCTGCAGATCATCATATTAATTATCTCTAAGAGAGTAAAAGTTTTCTTTAAATCAGTAAATTAAACTCCACAGAAGTTGAAGAAATGATTTCCTTTCAAAGCTCAGCAAAAGGTTACAAAACCTAAGCAGTCCTTCAACCTTCTATAACAGACAACCTATTCCTCATTAAGCAGCAGAAGAAATAGTTCCAATAAAAGAAAGGGAAATAACTACTAAACTTTTTCAGCATAAGACAGAAGGAAAAAGGGTCAATCAGATTTTTCTTTTGGTCCCGTCTGGGAAGGTCTATCTGACATGATAGAAACAGGAAGATCATCACAAAACAACTGAACGGCATAGGCAAATTTATAATACATGTTTTTCTAATAGGTTTTAACATCACATTTCTAATTTTCCAGAAATATTTTAGACAGCCCAGAAGGTACCAAAACAACCTAGCAGCTTGTAGATTATAAAAAGGTTCAACACTTCAGGAAACAGTCTGGAATGCAAGAATAACAGATTTGCAATAATTCAAAAGCATCTAGAGGCACCTGGATACACAGCGAAAGGAGTGAATTAATCTCCCTCTTCAAATTGTCTCGAATAATCCCATAGATTTTTTCAACATATGCTGTAAGCTGCTGCTTGAAAAGTAGAGCTGGATACTTTGCCTCAACTTGGCGCACTACATCAAGTGCAGCTGAAGCTGCAGCAGGGTTGACTGAAGACGAGCGGAATCCCTAAACAATTGTGGTCAGTATCAGCAATCAGATAGCAAGGATATTCAACTGCTAGGCAAATTACAAATTTCTCAGCCAAACCAAGTGCATCAGAAAACATAATAGTTATAATAATATTTCATACCATTGCCATTCTCCCAAACAGAGATGTTGGAGTTTGCTGTTTACGGATTGGAGTTGCCCCACCAGCACCGGCAGCTTTTAAGCTTCTTTGGAGTAGGAACAACAAGGTCGAGGTATTTGACAGCCAATATGCCATACGATCATTGCTGTCTTCACTCTGCAATGCATCAAATAATATTTTTGATCTCTTTTTCTCCCCAAATGGCAGACACAAAAACTATCTTTTGGGCTATAGTAGTTATTAAACAGAAATATGTTGCACCTAAGAACGTAAAGCAATTCTGTGCTTCTTGCAGATATGAACAAACTATGCATATGGCACACGAAAATGTCACACTGCTTTGTGAATTTAAGACATCCTATTGGATTCCCAATAGTAGATTATCCTTCAAGCCTAAGAGAGAGAGGACAAAACGAAATAACTATTGTAGAAGAAACGTTACTCTACACCTCAAAAACAAGTGAAAGATCCCTAGATTATAATAGAACTTCTGAAAAATCATAAGACAAACTTGCCGATGAGATGACCATATAAGAAAGCAAGTAATGTTTATGACGACAAGTATAATCAAACTATTCTTAAAAATCTCTGCTTCTTTTATTTATCATGTACATTGATGTGTCATGAGTAAGAATGTTCAGTCACTCAGAGAAAACTCGTAAAAGATTTGTTCATATATTGGTAATCAGCAAACATAGCTTATTAATAGAGTAACAATGCAATTCATCACAATCGCCATGGCAGAAAATGCCAGACGACTAACTTAATATTCACCTCTGCAACATCAAAATATTGCTTAGCAGGGTTATTTTCCCCCTCCATGTACTTTTCATATGTTTGAAGATGATTCATCTTGACTTTACTGTTTTTGTAACAGAACAATTGCATGCAACATGGAATATCAATCAACCATCAAAAGTGTACCAAACAAAATAATTTCTATGAGATACCTCAATGGCTGAACCAAACATCTGAATGAGACGATCAAAGACACTGGTCCTTTCAGCTTCAAAAGACTTCCAGTGGAGAAGACATTTGTAAATGGTAAAAGCGGCAACAGGCTTGCCTTGACTAAAGCCAACATCTTTCATGGCACAGTCAATAAGTGCATCAACATCCTCCTGCAGAAAAGGTCCAATAGTATAACCAGTCAACAAGGGAATTACTTCAAACTAATGGAAGATGGATGCAGATCTCATTATTCCCAGCACATACATGTTGGCGATCAAATGGGGGCTTCCTTGGCTTGCTATCAGGAGTATCATAATTTTTGGTGGGTGAAAGGCTTAAATGGTCCTGCAAAATTACATTTATCAATTAACTTGGAGCTGAATAAAGAGTCTGATCCCTGCAAAAATTACACTGACTATAGTATTTGGAAAGGAAGAATTACATTTGTCCTGTTTTCCTCGTTCAAATAGTGGCCATTTTCCAATACCTGCATAGAAGTTAAGTGTGATTTAAATTTAGGTGATTGAAAGGGCCTAGAAAAAGATTCCAACTGTTGTAGGAGACATGCACCTTGGATGCTAAAGGTGGCAAATGTTCTGATGCCCTTTTTACAGGTGTTACTAAGGATTGCTGCCGAAGAACTTGGTTTTCAGATTCCATATCAAAGATTTTCTCTTCAAGTCTACAAAAGCCGAAATAAAATGACAGCTTAAGGCCAACAAGAATAAATAGGACAACCTTAGAAAGGATGCAATAAAACCCAATTTCAACGTCATTATTGTCCTATAAGCTAGAGATAGTTCAATATGTCACTATACCTTTGCATAGCAGTCTTTAAATGAACAATCTTGGACTCAGCATCCATGGCCTGTTTCAACCTCTCCTCACTGAGTTTGTTAGTCTCTTCATATTTTTTCTCTGTATCATCAATTTTCTTTTCCAGAGAGCTGACTAAGGCCTGTGATTTAAAAGAAAATACGTGAACGATATACATGCTATAGAACGTATAGAAAAGTAAATCATAGAATTTGGGACCCCATACCTTGAGTTTCTCATTTTCAGCTGTGATTTTATTCATCAATTCATGATCAATAACAGGGACTTCCTGTATAACCGGGACCTGCTCAGCTGCCTTTTTGGCAGTTTCACGTTCCTTCTTTAGCATTTCTTTAGTTTCATTAAACTTATGTTGCATATCTTGCAAAGCAGCTTGTAGCTTCGCATTCTCTTGTGACTTTGCTTCTTCCATGTCAACCTGTAAAGCAGAATTTGGTGAAGTGAGGAAAGAAAAATGAAAAACAACTGAAGCATAGGAAAATTAGCCAAAGATGAACAAATAATAACAGGATTTGAAGCTACTCCAGCTTCATTTAAATCACACCATACATCATCTTGGCCCAATAGATGGTTAGTGATTCAATGCCAGTTCATTTTTGCCTGTCTTGTGCTAAGTGACATATCATGAGATAATTAACCATAACCAAATTGCTCGGCCAATTTCCAGATGTGCCAAGTCCTTGAGGCCAGTAAAAAGGGTATTAATCTACGGTACGCAAAAATTGAAGAATGAATAGTGGAAGTGTTTGACAGATTAACCACATATTGCCAATTGACTCCCTATTCAACTTAGCACTTAGATTATAATGTTGACAGAGCAATAATTGAATACCTAAGATGCCTGCAACATGTTTATCTACCAAGGATTATAAACAGATAGTACCTATGCATGCATGAGCTTTATTTCATAAACATCTTTTAATAGTTTTATTCTGTTTTCCGTGGAACAGTTTCTTAAATTCAAAAGGTCAAAAATTCTCCTTCACCAAATTCACTTACCCTCATGCGTTTCTCCAGTTGTAATCTCCAAGTCAATTCTTCAACTTGCTTCTCTAATTTATTCTTAGCAGCTTGGAGGGCACCAGTTTCCCTGGCAGCCTGTTGATAGACAAGGTCCTTGTGAGTGCATGAGTGAGGAAGAGGGAGAATTCCAAATTGAGAAAGAAACCAAAGTATTTCAATATGTCAGAGAGAAAGTAAAACTTAATAATAATGGAAGAAAACGGGATAAAGAATAAAAAAGTGAGCTTGTAATGCAATTTTGCTTCGCCTTTGCAGACTTTTTCTCATATTAAAGCTCTATTTAAAGCTGCAAAAATATTATCACCGTACGCGATGGAAACATGCGAAACATTTAACCTGCAAAAGGGATGCATGTTTTTATAATTGCCATATACTCAAAAAGACAGGCTAATTTGAAGGCTGAGTCTCCCCTAACATATTTACTACTTCACTTGTTATTTCAAGTTTGCATATTCCTGAGCACATCTCCCACTCTTCAATAACAAGAAAGTCAACTGGTAAAAAGAATTCATGAGCTTTACTTTCAAAAGACTATTCCCTAACCTCGTAAATGTGACAATAAAAGTACATCAAGTGCCAGAATCCAACACAAGGGACTTATAAGTTCAAAGTGGACAACTATGCATGTTTAGTTTTAAGCAAATAGAACCAAAATGCTGACTATGTGCAACATCCAGGTCAATGGCACTTGGGAGGATGAATCAGAGATGTAAAATAGAAAAGTAACAGAGAGACAAAGAATGAAAAGTCACCATCTTAAGCTTCCGCAGTTCTTTGCGAGCAACTCTAGCTCTCCAAGCACATTGTGTGCTAATTGCAGCCTTTTTCACCTTCATATAGTCTGAATGGGCCAAGAATTTGCGACAATGGCTCTGCAAATGTAGAGTCATAGTGGTAAAATTCCAGTACTACAGCAGGTATCTTGATATATATACACTTGGTTATTTTTTTTTTCAATTGGTTATTAAATGTAGCAGTAGCTTCAAAATATAATGATTTAACATCATAAACATGCTCTATTTGACAATTAGACCGTAAATGGTTCGCTAGAGTCACTTAGTAGTTTTCAAGGACAGCATTTACCTGAATGATGATTGCCGCTCTTGTCTGCCTTCGGAATCGAAGCTCATTCCGTGCAGCCATTCCCCGCATTCCTGTCTGAATTGAGATAGCAGAGGAGCACAGTTCTTTGTAGGCTTTCCTAGCCAAATGCATGCGCAGATCCCTCTGGATTCTTAGACAAGCAGCCTGCCTTCGCATGCTTCCATATACTCGCCGAGCAAGTTCTCCTGCAGTCAGAAGAAAGAATTACCACTACAGAATAATTGGTTTACAACATTTAAGCTGATACAGAAAAAAAAACCTAGAGGTCATCACCTCTGCAGACAGATTGCATATACATTGCTGACTGACGCAACAATGTAAAACATTTCCGTGCCATGTAGGACCGAACTTTCCTCTGAATAATGTTGGCTGATCTCCCTAGGACCTCAGTCCTCCTGGCATCCAGCTCAGCCATCTGACCAGCCCGTAGAAACACCTTTGTCTTACCAATCTGGAAAAGTGAAATGAATTACCATGAGAGCATCATATAACCCACCCATCTCAAGGGACAGACAAATCTTATGCAAGCAAGAGGTTAATATCAACAACCACATTTTAAATGCACATTTTTGCAGTAACATTCCAGGTCAATCAGAAGCTATCCAACCAAAAGATAACAGAGCTCAACTTGACTTCAAACAAGTAACTGACCATTACACCTGACTCACCCCACCAAATGAAAGGCAGATTAGAACCTCAAGAAAATACAATCTAGTGTCCACAAGAACTTCTGTGCCACATAGAATAAAAGGTGTACCAAAAAGACCACAAAGAAGTTAGCATAGTCTTTTTAAGATGAGAACCAATATGTTACAGGAAAGATTGCATAACAAGAGATATTCTGACAAACAGGCCATAGTGAAGTCTAGGCCAGTAGAAATAAATTAACGTCCTACTATCTTCTAACCAAATCTACTGTCACCGACTCATAGTGGAAATTCCCAGCAGACCCCCAAGGAAAAGCATCAGCAAGGACGAACAAGATAGAGAGTCCCATGTCGCTAATACAGTGAATATAATTTCTAAGGGCGTGAGCAAACATGGCACTGTGATCCCAGGTTTGAACTAATCAATGTCTTGATGTAGCAGCAGACAGATGAAGGCTCAGTGCATCATGAAAGAACTGCAAGACAGTGGCCAAAAGGATGCCACTGTCCCAGTATCAAGAAGTGAAGAGATAAAATGATACAAGAGAAATCAAGTCATTCAAGTAGTAGAAAGTTCACAAAGACCAATGTGCAACTCAATGGCTGCTTCTTCGTCAAACACTCAAATGCAGTTAGAAACAAAGTCCATGTCCAACCTGTAACATAAGCTTCATTCATTCATACAAACAAAAGGAACACATGTAGTAACATTTTTTTATCTGTATCTCAGATGCATTCCAAATCTGATTTTGGCAAGCACGGTCAAAGTAAAAGGAGCGTTGGACACATGTCCCACATCTTAGAGAAGAGAAGTGCCACTCAATCTTGTCTAACACAAATGCAATCCTGCCCAAAGTCTCAGACAAACTGGGAAAAGGTGGACGTACGTTGTTGCAACATAATCCAACATTATTAGCCAAACATGAAACAGAATTAATTGACTAAATCATGGACATTCCCAAGGGACCCATAATGGGACTTGGGCAAATCCTTTGGCCCCTTAAAAGCAATGTCATAGCCTTCTCATTTTCAAACTATGATACAACGACAATACAACCAAAGCAAATTCTGCATCTACCACAGGACTGAAGCTATAAAACATTAAATCTCGTTAAGCAGATGGGTTTTATTCATTCTGCTGCATATCAATCCACAAGACACTTCCTTTTTCTTCTGTAAGTATCAGAAAAGCACTGTGGTATAACACGCTCATACCCAACTAGAAACACCAGTTATCAAGCTAAAAGCATACACTGATCTAAAGAAGCATCCTAATATAGAATGATAAACAGTGATGCTTCAAGTTTAAACAATAGTCCAACAAAATACACAAACAGAGAGAAATTCTCTACCTGATAACCTTCAAGACCAACTTTCTCCAAAAGCCTCTTGCATGCCGCAACCTCATCATTACTATCATGAATTTGATTACCAGGACATCAGCATCTTCATTGGCTTGACAGAAAAAATACGAGATAAAAATTGATATACCTTCCGTCCAAAACATCAGGTGCAAGAATCCCAAAACGATCAAGAAATTCATAAAAAGGTTTTCTTGTAGGATATCCGGCACAACTTATCCTGATTGCCTCCATCACTCCCTGGACGTATTCTCAGATTAGAACAAATAAACAGATGTAAGTAGATTCTGCCTGTATGACAAATAAACAAGTGGACTACAATTACTTACCCCACAGCGCAATTGTTGCAGAACATTCTGATTCTCAAAGATAGCTGGCTTCAGCAGATTATTAGGTTTTACACATCGTATATAATGTGGCTCAGTGCCATTCAGAGTTTCAAGCAAAGATTGCAATTGTTGCTGCAAAAGGTATCCAAGTAAACTTCACAAAGATGATAGTCAGAAAACATGAGCTCACAGAGAGCAAATAGTGTAATACCTTGAACCTTGAGCCAATAGAAGAAAACTTGGACTGTTTCGAGGACTCGTCACCAGTAGGTGGAAACAAACCCGCAACAAAAGAACACGTTGAGGCATTTAGAAGATCTTGATGTTCAGCAATTACATAGTCTTTGTTTTTGTCCAGAAACAATTCAGTTTGGTAAGTGACCTGAGATGCATACAAAATAGACCCTTTTCAATGCAGGAAACATAATATTTCCCATCAATGCAAAGCTTATGACATTTCCCATTTTCATGAGCATAGACAGCTTAGGCATAAATCTAGATGCCAGAGTGGAAATTATGTTGGATGAAAGAAAACCAGACAGTACTTACATCTCCAGCATAGTGACAAACAGTGAAGTCAGAACGCGACAGTTTTGGCTTGCTGAAGCGCTTATTATTTTTGAAAGTCTGGTAGAGCTTTTGGGCAAAAGTTTCATGAGTTGATCTCGGAAACATGCTGAACAGAATTATGCTAGATTCAGTGCCAAAATAACTCGCCATAAACATCAGAAGAGTCTTATGGTAGAAAATCCTATTTAGTGCAAATGGAAGATGATCCATTTAGCAGAAAGATTAAGCTCGCAATAGCAAAGACTTTCATTTCTGCACTTACCAAGCTTCATCAAGAAGAGCAATAATACCTCCAGGTTTCTGATCAATGAAAAACAACAGGTTAAAAGGACAGGATAAGGTAGAGACAGGAATACAGTAGCATAGGACTCATTAATTTCACTTAGGAGAAGAGAAGATAGCGAAAAATTAAAATGGACCACAAGAAAAGCATGGCAAGGTAAGTCCCAAAGATTTCTCTTAGGGTAATAATAAGAGTTTATCATAATAAATCAAATCAAAGCAAGTCCGTAAGTTCCACCAAACACCCCCATAACTGTCATGTGAAACCTCTGCAGGTTTATGATAGAGACAGTAAGAAATCTAATATGCAAAAGACCGTAACAAGTAAAGGATAGCACAATGTGGTTGACTTCTAATATCTTTAGAAGCAAATTGACAGCTCATACCTTTTCAATGAGATCAAGAACATCCTGATTGTCAATGAATTCAATATAACTCCAGTTAATCTCTTCTTTTGTGTACTCTTCTTGCTCCATTTTAAACACATGCTGCACACAAGACAAAGGTCTCAACAAGCTGCATCACTTAGAGATCAACAAAATCTCCACAAAGAAGAGGAAGCCCATTCAAAACCTGATTGAAATGCTGTTGAAGCTTCTCATTAGTCAAATTAATGCAAAATTGTTCAAAGCTGCATAAAGGCAACAATTTGTTAACACAAGACTACATGCACCACAGATATTTTCAAAAGTCTTTCTGCAGCAGAGAATCTTGCAAAATGAAGTCAGACAAGGCTTTTACAAGATTAGAAACTCAATGCCACTAAGTGCACAAAATTAGAATCTCTCCAAGACAAGATCTTACATTCATTTGCCTTTTCCAACTTGATAAATATCCCAAAATAATCTTGTTAATATCCATCATTAACAGCAAGATCATGAAAAAAAACCTTATCCTATGAATTAATGGACAGAAGCACATGCAAAGCATATAAGCTTGAACAGATATGTGGGAGACATAAAACAAAGTTGTCAAGAAAAGCAAGTAAAATGAACAAAGGTAACCTGTATCATACAAATGGGGATCAAACCCACATATTCATAGGTGATGCAGCATCTGAAAACAAACAAACCTCATCCATTTACACTGCTGTTAGTCCTGAGTCTATGGAGATGAGGATTATGGCAAGATTAAGAAAACTATGAACTGGAATAATGGGAATTGGAGCAAAAGTTGAATGCTTTTTGCGCATACTACATGAAAAGAGGCCAGCTCATCAATTACAAAACAAAAGGCATACCAGTGAAGCACCTGTTAGTCTTGAAACTCTCAAACCCATAAATATCCAGCACTCCGATTAAAAGTTTCGAGTTGGGATCTTGACCAATTGAACTGTTAATCTTATCCACAAGCCTGCAAAAAGAAGTAGCAGAGCCAGCTTAGGTAACTCATGACTTCTATACCATGAAACTTTGAAACAAATGAACTGCAAGGTCTGCATCAGTAGCACAACCAGGACAGTCATGCGTTATCGTCACTCAAAAATTTTTAGCATTCAATCTACATCATCTCCACCCCAAACAAAGAGGACGTGGGAAGAGAAAGGTAAAGGGAACTCTAGCCAATTCCAGAAGTTCCAATGAGCAGCTTTTCATTCACTACTTGGCTACAAAATATCCATCTGAATAGGTCTCTTGGTGTTTTTGTAGAGCATAAGATACTTTAGCGTAATATACACTGCTCAAACTAAGTGGAGATAAGAAGTTAGAAAAGAAAGAAACAATTACAACAGACACGCATTCAAGAAAGAGAGAAAATGGGCAAGGGATCATAATTGTCTCAGCACAGCAATTTGAAGTCTAGATCTACCAAAGTCTTCAACTACACTGGAATTGAAAGAGTGATCTTTCCTCCCCTTTCATAAATTATAGAGATAAAAGGTGTCAATTGCAATAGTAGTCCTTTTGCTTATCAATGTGCAGGATCATTTCTTTTCTTCCATTCGAATGACCCTCCCAAAGTGAATTAGATCCTTTTAAAGGCATCAAATCTATTCATACCAGTCAAACAATCTTGAGTATACAACTTTTGCCAAAGCATCTCTACTGACAACTGCAGCTTCAGGATCAAGCCATTTGGTGATGGTTTCATCACGAGTTACAATAACTCGTTTACATAGAGAATCCTCCAAAGCCTTTGCATCACACCTTCAGAAAAAGTCCAGTGCAGAAAAATTAAAACTCAACTCTTGCAACTGTTAAATCAAATGGCTATGGGCATGCGCTGACAAAACCAACCACTTACATCAACAGCTCTGCAGCAGTTCTCAAATGGAACCATGACTTCTCATCTTTGGGCACAGACGAGTCTATTTCTTTTCCTTTGGCAAATTCAATGTTACCAAGATGGAGGATTGAAGCCACAACTCGAAATATGCCATCCTGTGGAAGACACCAAATATCAGACACAACGAATTGAGAGGTTTGACTCCTTGAGCAAATCAAACGACTCCTCTTGACAATACCTGCTCATCAGCATTTATTCCAACAATGTCCATTGCCTTCCTTGTTGCCAAGTATTCTTTGGAATCGTCAACTCCATCTAACATGTAGCAATTTGTCTGATTCAGGTAGTGGAATGATCTGGGATCTCCCAACTTGTACCTTTGAAGATCCTGAGGCCCAATAAGAAACAAGAAAGGTCAATCATGAAGCAAGAATGTTATGTTATGCAATATTGAGTGAAAATAAAATAAAGCTTCTACATATCTGGCAGTAGAAATACTAGCAGTCATCATAATGATGGGATAGGTTGATGAATGACTAAAAGACTAATATTTTGGAACATGGACCTTTTATATTTAAGTGCCTGAACATCTTCCCAGTGCCCAAGAACAACAACATGGCCATAAAGGATGACAGGCACTGCCTGAACTCCAAAGCAACAGAAGTCAAAACAGAGAAATAGTACCCCCGAAAGGATGATGGAGAGACTGGTTGACCTTCTGAGATTTCATTTTGTTTGCCAGTCAAACCCATGAAACCCCAGTTCAGTTATTTGAATTACAATTCATTAAAAAAGAAAACATTTTTTTGCATTTATGCTATCAAAATTTGCTACTCAAGGGCAGTCCTACTATGACCCCTCAAAGTCATTCTAAACGAGAGCATGCATATTATTTATGCTTGTGTACTGAGAAATTTTTCACGACTCAACCCCTTGGTTCAAGATTTTTGAAGTGAAAATTCTGGTTGATAGAAGATATCAAGTGCGTGTGAGAATCAGGAAGATTTTATTTCTCAGTTCCTCACACCAAAATGCCTTACTTAATATATCTTGCTTTGGAACTTAGGCTTTAAGCTAAGTTTTTAGGACGAAATGAAAGAAATAGCCTAACACCTTCATAAATCTACCACAAACTAATGAATTCCAATGACTTACAGGATGTTTCATTTATATAAGCATTGTCCAGAATATAAGACAACTCGTTTTAAGTAAGCCTACAATGAGGATGATGAAGGGCCCCCATCACCAAGATTTGTTAACTGAAATAAAATGCTGGAATTTCCTGATGATGAGAGTTTACCCTATACCTTCGTGTTTTTTCAGTCATTGCAGCTATAAGCTTCTACAAATGACCACAAAATATCAATTTACTAAGTCAAATAATGCACTCCGTGAGCATAAAAGTAGAATCGGAGTTCATGAAAAAAGATAAGAAGGCCAAAATGGCCAGAGTTCATTAAAATCACAAAAATACCCTAATCACTGATTGAATCCTGACAGGCAAATAAAATTTTAGTTAATCTCATGAAAATGTTATCCAAGTTCTCTACCCTGCCTGTTGTATCCAGTAACAGGAGTAACTCCTAACAACCAAATTGTAACTTTACAGTGACATTCCCACTCTGTCAGCCAGCAATAAGATTCTAATAGTTTGAAAGGGTGTATATATACAGAACCTCAAATTTCAAACTTGATAGGCCTATCATTCTTTCGAGAGTGATTGACAAATTCAAGCTCAAAATTCAATCTTCACCACTTCTAACTTCTAATGCAAACGCAATCCTAAATTCACAACAGAGACAAAAATAACCCTCAGACCTAGCTTCCTGGTGATTCATATCCATGCTTTTTCTTCATTCACAATCGCTGTTTTCCTTTACAGCTCTACAGTTAGAAAAGACATGCAAAGACACTCTAGAAGCTACTCCAAAGACTCTAGCACTCCAAAAGCCATAAGCCAATCCTCTCAACCGCATCTTATTGTCTCTTGAATTAAGTTATAATTTCAACTGCTTACTGAGCCTATGACCTTCTCCCAAACACAAATCCCCAAATTTGCAATGCCCTTTACAAGATTTTTACAATAATAGTATTTTTCTAGTCTCTATCCAAAAACAAGTTTAATTTAAATGCCAACATTTGGATTGTTGTAAATACTTTTGCCATGTTACTGTTTACAGGATAAGTGCTTACCCTATGCAACAAGCTAGAAATTAAAGAGTTTGCTGAAGTCACCAATTTCTCTCATAAATCTATACGATTAAAAAAGGAACCATTTTCCACAAATTGGAGTTTGCTGATTGCATATTCAGATGCTAAAAATTCAGTTCCTGATAAAAGTATCTTGCGATTCCATATCCATCATTTAACTTTTTCAATAAAAGTAACTCTATGCTGAGATCTATAAAGTACCATACTGCCAACCAGCCAGATTTAGTTTGCAAATAGTAAAATAACCAATGAATTATTAAACTCCCACAGAAATATAAAACAAGAAGCTCCAGAGCAGCATCCAGCAATAGCCATAAGATACTATCAAAAGATAAGCTTAAAATTCAAAGGTCTTCTTCAGGGGTTAAAATTAAATCCACGGAAAGAAAACTATTTAATCCTCACCCGTAATAAGTTGATAATGTTTCCAAATTATATAATCATACCTACAGTTAAATGCCAGAGAGTAAAAGGACAAGTAGAAAGGAAAATGCTCCAAATGCTTAATTCACATTCATCTTAAGAAGCAAATCTAGGTGAAAGTGGTGAATAACGAGTACCTCTTGTGGTGCAGCACAGAGCATGTAGAAACAATGGTAATTTCGCTCAGGATCAGACACTTGACAAACACGGGATCTTTCCAGCAAATAAGTTCTAACAGCAGCCCCTGAGATCCTTCCCTTGTCATCAAACTGAATCTCCACGAACTTACCGAAACGACTGCAACTCGTAGCACATATTAAGAATGTTGAGATTGTCAGAATAGAAGTGATAAGTGTCCTAACTTTATCAAGTTTATGATCATATAAACCTCCAACCTCGAATTATTGTTTCTCACAGTCTTTGCATTACCAAATGCTTCCAGAACAGGATTAGACTGGGGAAAAAAGACAATAAGAGCAAAAACAGCATAAGCATAAATTCTTTTGTTAGACTATCCACTGTTTTAGTGAACATTGAAAACTCAGATGCTAATTTTCAGAATATCAAATTTAATGGTTTTCAATTTGTACCTCCAGAACTTGCTGCTCAACCGTCCTGCCCTCAGCTGCCGCTCGACCTCCCATGTATGCAAGATACCTCATCAGCTGCTTAGTACTTTCTGTTTTACCTGCCCCACTCTCACCACTAACTAAAATTGACTGATTTATTCCATCATTCATCATTAGTCTGCAGCCACCAACAAAGATGTTCATATACATGACAAAAGAAAGAGGGACATGAAGTGTTCAATTTAACCAAGTCCAACCTGTATGCAGCATCTGCAACAGCAAAAGGGTGAGGGCTGAGCTCCCCAAATGCAGCACCTTTATACTGTTGCATCATATGGTTATCATACAGATGAGGTAACCTTGTAAAAGGGTTCACGGCTATTAATATATTTCCTGTGTAAGTCTGAAGAATTCAGCAGATCAGCTTCCACAATTTAAATTTTCTAGGAAAACTTTCCTAAAGAAAAAGAAAAGTACTAGATTTTCTGAGCGACGAAAGAACAATGCACTGCTTACATATATTTCATTGATATCATATCTACTCCTTAGATTGTATAGAACTCCTGGTTCGTGTAAATAAGCCAATCTTGTCATATCATCCACTCCACATGGCGGGGCCTCCGCATCTTTAGGGTAAACATTGGTAGACTTGACAACAACCTGGGATGAAATAGAGTGCAACCTTAGTCCAAGTAGTTTCCTTATAACCAAGCAAACATTTAATAGAGGTCTATGATTAAGATGACTAATGATCCTCCACAAAATTCTGGCGACCATCACTTGACATATAGCCATTATGTACCTTGTCAGGTGATCAAAACTACGCAATGAGAAGAATCATGAGAAAAAACTCACCGTCTTCCCTGACGTAGTAAGAACTTTAACTTCTTGACCATTGACCTCCACAACTTCCCCATCTATCCAGGCTACATCGGGATCTTCTACCCAAACAAGAGAACCTATCCCTAAGCTGATTAAAGCAGCCTGCAAAGCCAACATTTTTTTAGGTAGTAATCATCAAGAATAATGAACAATGAATTTTTACTAATAAGAAGATGCTGTGCCCAGAGATCCATCAACAGGAATGAGGGAATAGTACAAACTAGTAACTTAGTTCTGACTATCCATATAACAAAAGCACTATGTATCAACTCCGAGCATCAGAACTGCAGCAATCTGCTAACATAATGTTACAGATCATTGTTAACCAATGATTGGAAATATATCCATACTTACAGCAGTAAACAGTTTCTTCCAAGTAACCAATTTACTGAATCCACCTTAACAAGCCATTTGATAAAATCAACAACCAAATGCACACAAGATTTGGGATGATCAGACTATGGCAAATAAGCATCTATATGATGAGGAAAACAGAAATCTTTTGCATATGTTGAATGGAAAAACAACATATATCATTGAGATGTTTATGTGAAATCAGTCACTTCAGCAGTTCAATACAAGGTTCATTTTGGAGAATCAGGAAAAGGATGAACAGGAAGAACTAAGAAACATGTGGAACATTTATGAATAAACATCTTAGTTACATTGTTTTCCTTTGCCTAACTCACTACTTTGGAAAAAAACCCAAAACATATTTCTGGTAAGAATCAGCCATCTCTTAGGTTCCATAACTAAAACTTTAGTCATATAATATATCCGCAGTCGAAGGATAAGAAAGGAACAAAAGAAAACTATAATGCATTTTCACAATCAAACTATTTAAGAAAGCATATAAAAAGAATATTAGATTAATAACTAAAAAACGCAAATTTATTTTGGCATGTCAATCTTACAATGCAGGCTGTTTGGCATCTCTTTTGTGATTAAACCTCTACCTCAACTTGTAAAGCAAGCATTTTATGAAGTAAACCAGGATGACAAAAGAATAGTCTAAATCGACAATTTGCAATTAGGCCCGAACCAATTGGCCTGAATTACAAAATCCCAAAGATCTGAATTGATTGTTCAATCAAATCCAGCAAACAGGATGTTCAAATCAGAATATAAAAAAAAACAGACTAAGAGCACATGAACTCGAATTAAGGTGCAGCCGTGCAAAACCACAACAAAATGAATAGGAAATTAAAATTGAAGGAAAGTTTCTTGAGAGGAAGTAAACGGGGATTCAATAAACGCAGAGTTAGATAAACAACTGAACAACAAACTACTCAGGGATTAAGATCAGAAAGCCACGCTTGAATTAATACAAAAAATCACAAGGAGGAGTAGGAACCACTACCATTTCTGAACAGCTTCAATCAGAGAGAGATCAGAAACTTCAGTAACGCCGCGATCAACACTTGAGACCTCCACCAAGCATCCTAATGTCGATAGTCCTACTACCTACTGATTCTCACACACTATCTACCACTCTTCCAACGACAATGGACAAATGCAAAAAGAAAAAGAAAAAAAAGTATACATGTACATATGCGTGTGCGTTTGTGCTGCAATATTAGATCTGGAAGCAAAAATGAGCTTCGCTATTCTTATGTTTTTCTTGATTCCAACCAAGAACAAGTACGATTCTGCTTCAAAAGGTAGGAAAATTGAAGTGGTTTCCTCTAATTTAACATGGGAATGAGAGAGAGAGAGAGAGAGAGAGATTAAAAGTTAAAACCCCCCTTGAATCTTTGATGAGTCTTTTCCTTGTCCAGCGCGCAGAAGAGAGAACAGGCAAACCTTTTGATTTTTGGTTTTCTTTTTTCTTTTCTTTTCTTTTCTTTGGTCTAATAGATGGTCTTGTCCACGTTGTTTGGGATTTGGTCTGAGTTTTCATATGACGAAAATCTAGCTCTTTTTTTTTTTTCCCCTTTGAGGGTATCTAGCTACTAGTAATTAATTGCTAAGTTTAGAATATGGGAAATTATAAACAATTAATAAAGCGCGTACTTGTGTGGATTTTAAATCCCCACATTGCCCCTGCTATATACCCGTTATTACGCAGAGGGGCAATCCTTCAGACAGCTCAATTACGCGGACAACGTTGTCGGCTCAGGCTGTCCCCACCATTTGAATTGCCAGAGCGGAAACGTCATTAAGTAGCAGTAATACTTTTCAAGGATCTTTTATTCTTTACATTTCACGGTCATTCACAATATAATATAAAATAACACAATGTGGTGGTGGGAGTTTTATGCGAGAAGAAAATAATAAAAACTCTGCTACAGTAAAAAATTTTAAAAACACCCCAAAAAACAATTAATTCAAACGGAGACAGAGTTTTTGGGAGAAATGGAAGGATAAAAAGTTCCAAAAGAATAAATAAATAGAATTGAACTTTACTTCGAATGCAAAAAAACATGGGTCCGTTTGGATTCCTTATTTTTGCTTCTGTTTTTTAAAAACTGTTTGTCACATTTCAAATGTTACAGCAAATTTGGATTTCAAAAAAAATTTCAAAAACACCCATATCCAAATATTATATCAAAAATAACTTCAAATATATATTTAATATGTATATTTCAATTATGTATATTATATATATATTATATTAATATAAATTGAAATATACAAATTGAAAATTTTATATTTATATATTATATATTATATAAATTGAAATATACATTAATATTATACATAATATAATATACATAATATGTAATATTGTATACATAAATGTATAAATATTTATACATAATATATTATGTACATTATATTATAATATATACATTATTAATGTACTTTCATTATTATGTACATTATTGTGTATAATAATGTATAATAATGTTATAATATATAATATATAATATACATAATATGTAATAATGTATAAATGTATATTATGCATAATATATTATATTATGTATATTGTATTATATCTATACAATATTATGTATATTATACAAATTGAAAATTTTATATTATATATTTATATATTATATATTATATAAATATTTATATAATGAAATATACAATAAATATTACAAATTGAAATATTATATAAACACCATATTTATAATATTATAATATTTATAATTAATATTAATGTATATTATATATATTAAATATTTATTTATTTATTTATTCATATTATAAATATTTTATTTTATTTATAATATATTTTATATATTTATAATATATTTATATAAATTATATATAACATGATATATAATATATATTATATATATTATACATTTATATAAATGTACATTTATACATAATATATATATTTATGTATATTTATAATATACATTTATATTATGTATTATATATAATATAATACATTTATACATTTATACATTTATATTAATTATATTAATACATTTATACATAATATTAATATATATTTATAATATATTAATTTATACATTTATATAATATTCATTTATAATTTATACATTTATAATAATATACACTTATACATTTCTAAATATATTTATATTATGTATTATATATAAAATAATACATTTATAATACATTTATATATTTTTATATGAATATATAAATATATTTGTTTATAAATATTTATAAATGTATTATAAATGCATAAATATATATTTATATAACAATATAAAAATTATTTATTAATATTTATACATTTATACATTTATATAATATTCATTTATACATTTATACATTTATAAATATATTTATATTATGTATTATATATAATATATAATATAATGCATTTATAATATATTTTTATATTTTTATATAAATAAATAAATTTATTTATTTATAAATATTTATAAATGTATTATAAATGCATAAATGTATATAAATGTAAAATTATAAAAATTATAAATTATAAAAATACTCAAAAATATGTTTTAAAAATACCTCTAAAAATAATCCAAAAAACATCTACAGTAAAAGTTTTTCATATAGTTTTTGAAAAATAACCCCAAAAACAACTAATCCAAACGGACTTGTATTTCAAAAACGAAATGCTACAGTGTTGTTTTTTAAAAACAACCCCAAAAACAGCTAATTCAAATGGACCCCTTGTCTTTTGGTTAAGTAAAAGAATTCCTTAATATCGCTTTAGTAGTTAGGCATTCTTTTTTGTTTTGCATTTTTTATTGTCCCAGGAATCCAATAGAGAAAATTCAATTTTTTGATCTCTCGTCAGCCATATAAATTTTCTTTCCCTTTACAATCACACAACATGTGGGAATTTTTAAGTGAGAAGAAAATAAGAGATTTATACAAAAATAGAAGGAGAAAAAAGTCCCAAAAAAAAAGGTCTATCAAGTAAAAGAATTCTTTAATGTCGTTTTTAGTTGTTAAGTACTCAAGTTATGTGATTTAACTTGTAAAACTTACATACCAGTTATCCTTTCTTTTCTTTTTTTGATCCCAAAACTCCCAAAAAGGAAAAAGAAAATGAAATTTTTGTGGCCTTCTCTTCCATATGGAGTATGAGTTTTCTCTTGTAAACTTCCAAACTAAGCAAAGGTTAATGTTACTGTTATCAACTCTCTCTAAATTGAAAAAAAATTATTAGTTACCACGTCCTTACTTACCTGTACATTTGCTCCACTTGTGAAGCGAATAATGATGGCCGACAGTAGACGTCCCAATTAGAGTAGAAAGTTGCGGTTAAAAAGTTGCGCCACTCCCATTTTTTGAAGGAAAGATGATTAAATTGTTACATTTTCAGTTTGGTGCTATTAAAAGTGTCATATTTTTAAAAAAATTATCTTAAAATATTCGTCATATTTAACATTTATAATTATTTTGTACTCTGAAATTCCCCTTATATTTTTCATTAATGATGCATAAAAACAAATACGATGAGATTGATTTCTACTCTTTAGTTTGACCAGCACATAATTAAAGACAAAAGTGTTACAAAAGGGAAAAAAAATTTAGTGAAATATACTGTACATAAAAAGCACATATCTCCAAACATGACTAAAAATATGAAACGGAGGGAGTATCAAGAATCAGCAGCTTCGTCTCTCACATGCTATTGACTATAAGTATACCTTTTAAGAGCATGGGATTCTTCAAGCTTGGCATACATTTGCTGTCTATCCAATCTTTCTAGGTACTACTTTTCACGTAGTTATATTTCCTAATATCTCCTAATTCTACGTATAGAATGACCAACTATATGCTAGGTAATGATAGTTTACTTTGACAATCCAATACTTAAAAAAGAAGCATGAAATTGGTGACACATTGTACTCGAATGCAATCCTTCAATAGAAAATTGATAGAAAAAAAAAGAAGGGGTGGACGAATGTAGTAAATCCTTGTGTGCAAAGGTAAAATCAGGCAAGTACGTAGTAATACTCCTTATTAATATATCTATATTAAAATGTAACTTTTTAATCCAAATATCTATATTATTATTTCCTTTAATACCTCTCAAACCATGTCCTCTTTTTTAACCACGTTCACCTTCTTGTAACTACTACTTCCTGGCCAAACCAATTTAGATGCTGCACAAATTCTGAAATGCTTAGAAAGATTTGTTGGGGGGAGGAAAAAGAAAGAAAAAGGAACAGTAGCGTATAAAGAAAGGAAACGAGGTTATAACACAGCGGAGAATACCCGGATGATAATTGAATGATTTGATCTAATTTAGATTATCTTTTGATGCCTTTTCCAAGCAATAAACTGCATCCAATTGACTTGTAGTCATTCCCCATCCCGAGTTCTATCTGTTTGTTGGATTTCCAAGATGACATATTCCAGGTGACAAATTAACCGCTGAAGCCCCTGCGTGAATGGTCCAACGGTAGCACCTCCCACTGGTGACCACTTGGTCTCAAGATCGAGTCTCTGTTCTGCTGGATTTCTCCGCGCACTTATCGTGTTTGGGTCGGGTTGGGGCGCCGGGCCCGGACTGCAGGGGATTAGTCGGGTCTCGTAAGGATTGACTCGGACACCCCTGTGTCGAAAAAAAAATAATAATAAAAAATTGACCGCTGAAAACGAAAGGTGAGAGGCGCAGGTGGTAGTTTTGTTGATTTGTTGCCACTGAAGGGCATCCATGGAAAATCATTAATGGACAGAAACTTAATCAAGATCTATGAATGTGACTTTTAACCGCCGCTGTAATCATCCTAGACTCGTCACAGTTGAAACATGAAAGCAACATAAACAGCTTAGGGCAGATAAATCCACAAAATTAATCCCAGTCAGCGATCGTCAAATATACAGTAAAACTTTACTTGGAGACAACACCAATGATAAGTTGATAACACGCGAAAAATTTTACCGTGCTCCTCGCTCCTCAATGTCACTGGAATTCCCAGTTGCCCGGAGATGATATCGCTAAACGTGCCGTGTGTCGCATCGCAAATACAGTACATATTTTAATACAATAATTTTTATCTTCTAAAATAAATAATGTTGTAGTAATTATTTATTTCGAATAAAATTCTAAACAATCTCCTACCCGACCCGACGCGTTCATGTGCGCGTGGATGAGGAATAATTTGCTGCGAAGAAAACTTTCATATTAAAAGGAGAACTACTTAGCTGCACGACATTGGGCTCCGAGGAAAGGCAACTATCTTTCGACGGATTTGAGGACGTTCACCAAGTGTGACTAAGACTATTATTTTATTATTGTAATAATAGGTTAATGAAGAATCTGTTCAACGATGTAGATCGCAGGTCATCCTTTCGGTCCAATTGCGGCCGCTCATCTTCAAAGATAGCTGTTTCTACGTCACCGCCACAACAGGCGGGGATCGATTGTTGTCTTGGAAGCAGAATGGGTGAAAAAGTTTTTTTTAAAAAAGTTACTAATAAATCAGTTGACGTGTGGACCCAAAAGAGTTCCGGTAAATCACTTT